TTTTTTTAAGTATATAGTATTTTTTAAAGTTTATTTATTTTATTTGAGAGAAAGAACAGGGAGGGAGAGAGAGAATCCCAAGCAGCCTCTGCACTGTCAGCACAGAGCCTAACATGGGGCTCAAACTCATAAACCATGAGATCGTGACCTGAGCCGAAACCAAGAGTGGGTTACTTAACTGACTGAGCCGTCCAGGAGCCCCCACTCCTGAAAGTTTATAGCAATAGCAGAACCAGAGTTTTGTCTAGTTTATCTGACCCAGAATCTGGATGAAAGTATTCCTATTATAGAGTCAACTAAGTATAGTCATGGATTTTTAAAAGACTGGCTAGATGTTCCTGGGCACAGTCCCACATCCTAAGTGAACCAGCAACCCTTTAAAATCACACCCCAGTAACTCTTTTGTGCTTCAGATACAGCTTGTACATCTAATTTATTTAACTAAATTGCCTCATCTTATATATAGGTTAAACTTTGCAAGCTCAAATCAAGTAGGAGGATTCTGGGACCAACACTATGAACCTTTCAACAAAGGAGCATTTTGGGGGGGTGGGGGTCAGGTCTAGGCCCCACAACACTTTCCTTTGTATCAGCACAGTGTACCTGATCTCTGCAAGGGCTGATAGCCCTGAGTCATCCCCTGCATCTGTAATGCAGCTGCCCAGTGCTACTGGCATTATCTAAGTAAAACCCCTATTAGCGTGTTAATCCCCTCCTCAAACACTTCCCTCTTGAAATTCAACTTTCAAGAGCCAACATAATCTGGCCTCACATACCTCCCACCATTCATTCCACTAATTTTCATTTGGCGTTTTTGAGTGAGGGATGGACAAAATGAACCTTGTGTTTTAGAAGGTTAAACTGCTCATGTAACAAGGATGAACTGAAGACTAGAATAGTGGCAGGAAGGAGACTGTTGTAATCATGAATGGTAACCTTTAACAGAGTAGTTTCAGGAAAGCATTATATACAAGTTTAGATAACACAAATAGAGAAGAAACTGGAACAACACTTGTGGGTAGTGCAATATATCTTCACAAAACAAAGGAGGCTTTCTCATTAGGATGAGAACTTATATTTGAAAAAAAAGTAAGTATAATAACTTTGAAGATTTAAAGCTTTAAAACTACAAACTCTTCTCAATAATTTAGGCTGGCTGGGTTTGAGGACCCAGAGGGGGTCCCATAGGACCAGCCAATGCGATCCTTGGCTTTATACAAGGCGGAAATCAAACAGCATCTGGGAGGAAGTGAAAGTAGCATTTATTGAAGATCTAGAGAGGGCAGATACAGACTGAGCATCTAGGAGACTCAGAAAGGAAAAGGAGAATGAGTCTCGTCTTTGCTTGGGGTCTGGAGTTTTTACTGAGGATGTTGGTCTGGTGTACATGTTCTGTCAGGCATCCAGGAACTGGTCAAAACAAGGGCAAGTGCTCAGGTGTCCTTCATGAGTCATTTATGCCTTGGAGCCAGTGGTCCTGGTGTCAAGGTGTCTGGCGTCAGTGGTCTTAGAAAATGTTCATGATGACCTCGCTCCTTAGATGTTACTTTTGTGCTGGAAGATTCCAAAGAAATCATTAACTCCTTGACACGTACAAGGACATACATTACTGGTACTATAAGCCACGTATAGGGGAGCCATGTAGGTCCTAGAAAGAATATAAGAAGGAAAAGGAGAAAAAAATGCAGGTTTTTTTTCATGGGGTTCCTTTAGTTCCCATATCATTACAAGAATTTTAACACTGTAAAGATTTTGAAAATGTGCTAATTTTTTTTATTAAAAAAATCTTTATGTGAAGGTTTAGGTGCATAAAAGTAAACATTTTCTTCTTTGGTTAGTAGTCATTGGCAGACTCTTATGGTCCTGCTCCCTTATCTGTGACTTATGACATGGAAAGAGGAACTGTCACTATGATATATCTGTTCATGGAAAATCTAGAAATCCTGAATGAATATTAACATTCCTTATTATTATTTGTTATTATTTAATAAGTGTTACACACAATAACAAAACCCAAAGAGTGCAAAAAGTTGTACACTGATAGGTTCATGTATTTTGTCTGTCCACTTGTCTGGAAGAAAGGCTGCAACCCTTTCAGATTATTGAAGTGGTTTGTAAATCAAAAAGAAGGTTAGAACCAAAGTTAAAGAATTTCAATAAGAAAATTCTTCAATAGGGGCGCCTGGTTGCCTCAGTCTGTTAAGTGTCTGAATCTTGATATTGATATCACTGTTCATGAGTTTGAGCCCCGAGGGCAGCTCTGCGCTGTCAGTGAGGAGACTGCTTGGGATTCATTCTGTCTCTCTCCCTCTTGCTCAACAAAACAAAACAAAACAAAACAAAACAAAACAATAACAACAAAACAAAACAAAAAACAACCAAAAACAAAAAACTTGCAAGAGGGAACTTTACTCCTCAGGTATCCTCTGGGCTACCAGGATCCCCCTCCCAAGTCATTACCCTGCTAAATTAGAGAGAACTATAAACACTTTCTCTCTGTGCCAGAGACTCCCCTCAATTCTCACGAGATATTTCGGGAACAAAAGTAGGAGACAGTATTCAGACTCACTTTGTTCTTACACCTATATGGTAAAATTGCACTTTCTAGGTAAGGTGTCTCTTGGTTAGAAGAGAAAGATTCCTAGTCTTAATTACCTCTTCAGAACTAGGAAATTTGTCTTCAGACTAAATCAGTGGGAAATTGAGTGAAAAAAGGAGTTAAGGCAGGTGTAGTCACAGAGATAGGAGAACCCAGGAAGGAGGGAATGCTCACAGGATCAAGGGCCTGGAAATCTAAAAGTGTGAGTTACCAGATTTCCCCAAACACAAATGATCAGAGATTTTCTACAATGTTGTTCCAGCAAGAGGGGAGTTCATAATAAAGGTTGAAAGGGGAATGGAGGCATGTGTACTAGAAATTGAAGTTCCTTTGTACCTTCTGTACTGCTATTAGGTTAGTTTTTCACTTCTTTTGAGAATAACCTCATTACCACCTACCCTCACCTGCAGCCTGTGCTAATGTCTTTCATGTACTTCTGAATCGTCTTAGAGTCTACACATCTTTTAAGCCCTAGCTCCGTTTCACTTCCTCCTTCAAGTCTTCTTTTTTTTTTTTTTTAATTTTTTTTCAACGTTTATTTATTTTTGGGACAGAGAGAGACAGAGCATGAACGGGGGAGGGACAGAGAGAGAGGGAGACACAGAATCGGAAACAGGCTCCAGGCTCTGAGCCATCAGCCCAGAGCCTGACGCGGGGCTCGAACTCACGGACCGCGAGATCGTGACCTGGCTGAAGTCGGACGCTTAACCGACTGCGCCACCAGGCGCCCCGAAGTCTTCTTTGAAGATTGTTGTTTCTGTCTTTCTCCATTTGCTGAGATCTTTCTGTGTTTATAGTTGCAATCATGCTTACTTATCAGGAAATAGTTATATCAAAGGTGTAAGCCTCCCATAGCGTTGGGAAGTGTAATTCTTGAATTTGGAGACTATGTTGTAAACTTCTCTTGTATACTCCTTGGAAAAATCCTAGGTTCATACTTATTAAATATACACCCAGGTCTAAATTTCTGTTAAATATTCAAGAACCACTTAAAAATACTTTATAGAACTTTCTACCCCAGAATGCTTTAAATTTTCATATGAAATGTATCCATTTTGACTATCTCAACAAGATCTCCCAAGTCATTCTTATAGCAGAGTTGAAAACTTTCAACTTATTCAGAATTGTCAAAAGAAGGGGCAGCCACCTCTGCAGTGAGAGGACTTCTAACACTGAGCGCTCAAATTCGGTCTGCATTAAATAGCGACCTTATAATTATCTCAATGGGAAAAGTGTCAAATTTCGGAGACACCTAGAAAAGGGAGTGAAACGATCACCTAACAATACAGTTGCTTATTTGTCAGAAAAGGGAGCTGACCCGAGTTTCTGAACACACTGCGGCTCAGACTACAACCCGGGTTTTACACCATTAGGTGCAGACCAGCCAATTGGGCCGTCTGGTTGCCGTGCATCCTGGGAGCTGTAGTTTCCGGCTGCTGCCTCCTGACTACAGGCTCCACCAAGCAGCTGGAGGACGGTTGCTTGGTATTATTAGCAAGCGGGAAGTATGGCGGTGGCGCGCGTCGACGCGGCTTTGCCTCCTGGAGATGGTAAGGCGATCCTCACCCTTGAGACCTAAGGTTTACTCCACGGAACTAAGTTAAATAGTTACCTGGTGGAGAGAAGCCTGGGTTTAGGTGTGCAGTTCTGTACCAGTTCTTTCGATGCGGGACTGTGGGCGTCGCGGAGCCGCGCTCCCTTCTGGGAGTTGTAGTTCCTGAGTGTTGCCTAGTTCTGCGGATTTGCGGAAAGGGTCGACCTGGGGACTACATCCCCAGGGTCCTTCGCGTGGCCAGGGTCCTTCGCGTGGCCGGGCTCCCTGGCTTCCGCGCTTCTGAAGCTGCTTAGGTGGTAGATTTCGGGCTGCGGTGACCTTTCTTGGATGTTTACTTCGAATTTTGGATGCCCAAGTGAAAACTGCCGGATCTCCCTCTTTAGCTTTGCCTGTCTCCTTTTCCCCTAGCTTCCTATCACGTTTAAGAAACCGTCTTTCAACCACAGCTCCCTGACCGACGTTAAACCCTTTTTTGGAAGTGTCCGGTGGCTGTGATAAAATCTAGGGGGACCTAGAGTCCACAGTTCTACACCCCTTGTTCTGCAGACCAGGTCCTGGGATCGGGTTTGGTGGCCACCCAGCGGAGCGCAGGGTGTGGATGCTTCTGTGACCGGGAGTCGCCGGG